AARRAAATGGTATTGAGTCTGTCTTTGTAGATGTTATGTACTTCCAGAATCTTATGCCTTGCTTTTACTCACTACTTTATTATCACAGTTCAAAGATTATAAAATTCCAACCTTATATTTTGTTGACCTTTGGGATATCTTTTGTAACAGGACTAATTTTAATGTCTATCCGGTGCTTAATTAAGGAACATGTGATTACTAAGCCTTCTTTTGTCCATGTTGTTAATAGTAGGTTTGTCCTAGAATATGTATTCTCTTGGAATTGTATAGGTAATAGATCTAGTAAAACCACATTAAAGGTTACAAGATATTGTTATTCCAAACATTTGAAGAATGAGTAATTTAATGTTCTGGGTTATTTTAAATTTTTGTAAGTTTATTATTTTTACTAGTTAAATCTCATACATTTGCACAGCTTTTTATTGTGGAAAATTTCACACACATATAATAATATAATAATCCCCCTGTTCATTTTACYAGGAAGTACCAAGAATATTCTGATATTCTTTTTTTCACTATATCTACCAGCTCCTTACCCCTTGTTTTTACAGGTTTTTAGGTGAAATTTGTATACATTGAAATCTTAGTTATACATTTTTTAAGTGAATGGATGTACTTGTGTAATATATGCCTATCACAAATTAGAATTTTTCAGAGAAAAGTTTCTTTGTATTCATTTATAATCATTTCCACTACTATGCTAACTTTTTTCACTTTAGTTTTACTTAATCATACATTCTATTTTTATTATTATTTATGGGGAAAATGGAATCTTTTTACTCATGGATAAGAGCCATTTATTTAGTTCAAAGGAGTGTCTGTTTCTGAATGTTGTATTACTGTGCTAGGTGCTATAAGGGATATATATATATATATATATATATATATATATACACACACAAATTATATATATATACACACACACAACATACATTTAAAAATATGAGACATCTTTTCTTAAGAAGCTGTTGTTCTTATTAAGGACAGCAAACTTAAATACAAGTATTTAAAATGTAAGATGATGACAGTGAAGTGTCTAGGCAGACGTGCCCTCAAAGTTCTGAGAAAGACCAGATTATTGTGTTTGAAGGGGTTAGGGTAGGTTTTATGAAGAATGTGCACTAAACTTAGGAAGGTGGTGGGAATGGATAATGAAATAAATTGAATATTATAGCAGTCTTTTATCATATTTTTGTGGCATTTATGATACGAAGAAACTTTGCCCTTTTCATCTATCTTCCACAGCTACCAGAGCTCTTTTTTAAGAAATGTAAAGTTGCTCATAGTATTTCTTCATTAAAATCTTTCAACTACTTTAAAATAAAACTTCTGTTAATTATTTGGTCTTTGACTACTTTTTGTATTTACCAGCCATGTGGAATTAATTTGTAATCTCTGAGGTGACAGGCTGTGCCTAGCCTTTGCAGACTGATTGTAATCAGTGTCATACCCACCACTTCTACCCTGTGATAGTTCTTTTTCTTGAAGATTCAGTCTACACTTAATCTCTTAGGTGTTTTCTGTCTTTTCCCTGTCTCCACACTGATAGATGTCCTCTGCTTTCCTGACACTCTTAAGCATCTCTGTACTATAGCAGTTAACATTTTGTATTGTGCTGGTTTCTTTTCTTGGCTTCTGCCTGCATCAGAGTTTCTTGAGGGCATGGACTGAGTAACCTTTAAGTCCCTATTTGGATCTACCATAGGATAGATAAGTGTTAGAGTAGATAAATGATTTGAAGTTATTGAAAAATCTTTAAGGGTAATTGAAATGCCTTGGAGATGTGGGACTAGTACAAACAAGTAGAGGCATTATCGTCACAGAAATGATGGTGTACCTAGTAGTATAGAACATAACCTGGGTAGTGGGAAACTGGTGTTCCAGTTTTAGAAGGCAGGGAAAGGAATCAGTCTACATTGCCGCAGTATTTTATTATCTTAAATGAAGCATAACAAAGCAGTTTCTTTCCCTTCCCATCAGTGATTGTGAAGTTCAGATTTCTTATCCTGGATTTCAGAGCCTTCCTCAATCTGGTGTCATTTTACCTGGCTAATCTTATGTGCTGTTGCCTGCCAGGGGGTGCTCTGTTCCAGATAGGCCAGTTTCTTATGCTGTTTGAACAGGCTACCCTCATTCTTGGCTTCTGAGCTTTATCCATGCTATTGGCCATAACTGAAATTTCTCTGTGTACTCTGTTCTCCAAATCTTACTATCCTTGAAGAGCTAATAAAGCAGGATTACCTCTTCCATGAAGTATTTAGCTATTCTAGATGATCTAAATGATGATCACTCCCTGTTTAATCTTCTGAAAAACACGTTTAAATGTCTTTCTTGATTTACCTAATCATGTTTATAGCGTATAATCTAGCGATGTGTTTTGATAAAGGGTATACCTTTACCCTTTACCCTTTTTAACACTCTAATCTATAAATGGTGGGGTACAATTTCCTACCCCAAATATATCTGAGGAGTTTCAAGAAGCTTGTGTTTTTCTTAGTCACACTTTACTTCACTTTTTGGCTTCTCTATTTTTAGATCCTACCTACATCTTGTCTTTTAACCTTGTCTCTTTGGTATCTGCCTTGATTTCTCTGAATCAAGATCCACAAAGCAAGGGTTTCTAGAAGACTTCTGTTGAAAATTTGGGAGTAGTAGTAGGGATTGTGTCCCAGCATAGTGAATATCTCAGAATTCTTTTACTTAAGAAATTGCTTGAGACTCACTGTCTTCTCTGCACTTAAAGAGTTCTTCTGTGATGGCCCCTCACCTCTGAAAATGTATGCCTCCTCAAGTCAGGATCCTTGGTCAGGAGTACCTCTCGGTTACTGAACTTACCGTTATCTGCAGTGGTGCTGAACTGACCCGACTAAAAGATAAGAGCCTCTTGAGCTTGGCATTCCTGCATCCCCT